ATGAAGGAAGATAAGAGTGAAGGGATGAGAGAAGACATGGGGATCACAAAACGAAGAAATGGAAGACTCAAATTGGGTTCTCCTCAGGTCAACAATGCTTGGCTGGGCTGTAATTCCAGAGTCAATAACCTTACTATTTCTCCATTGACTTCCGTGACAAAAGGAGTGAAGAGGCAATAATTTGGGAGTTTTTTATACTCGTATTTGACCGGTGAAAACCACGAACACCTAACATGTCAGGAGTATCAAATAATTTTCTTGTCAAATTTCACAAAGATCCAAGTTCAATAGACCATTCAATCAGAGCAATGAAAGGACTACTACTTCATTTTAGCAGGTGAAAAAATGAAAGGACTACTACCTTCTTCTTTTATTTTTTTATTTTTTATTTTTCTTAACATGGGCTTGGGATCACCTACATGGGGCTGACCCAACCCAATCTTGAAGTGGAATAGCTGTTGAGGAAAAGATTTCAGGTGTAATGGATGGTTGAGACGCTTGGATGATAACTTTTCTTTTAATATTAAAAAAAAATATAATTAATTTAGTAAACTGTACCAAACAGGGTCATAATTTTCCCAGAGCAATATTAGATACAAATCCTCAAGCTTCACTTACCTATCAATCAATATTCAACAGTTTAATAGTTATCTTAATTTAGCCAATAAATTCTAATACCAAATGAAAGAAGTCTTCTGGATAGAACTCACTCCTCCAAAGCAATTTGCAAGAAGAAAACAAGGCAATAATTTGGGAGTATTTTTATACTCATATTTGAGTAGAGGGAGATTGAGAGAAAGACATTGGACCTCTATGAGCACTTGTTTTGTTTGATACTGAAAACTATTACTTGTGAGATTGTCCGTGGATGTAGGTTCAGCCGAACGGCGTAATTCTTTGGTGTCTTGTGTGATTGTCGTTTTTTCACTAATTTTATTTATTTGTATTCTTGTCCTCAATTTACATAATCATCATCAACTTTTGGTGTTGTTGAGTTTTTGGAAGCTCTCTGCACAATATATGGTTGCTTGACTACTGAATAATTAAATAGGTTTTTTGCGAATTTGAAACCATGGATCCAACTAGGTACACCTCTCAATCTACTCCTTCTAAACATAATTTAAGCACTTGAACTGATTGAGACTCTGGAACCATTGACGAAATTTTCTGGCATTCGAAAATTTTCTCAGTTTAGTGTTTAATTTTTGGGAAATATATACAAAGCTCTAAATCTAGAGCTCTAATTTGAGCTCTAGTGATGTGACAAAGCAAAAAAAAGAAGAGAAAGCTAGCACAAGACATCACATCACAGGGTACTCCTTTAGAGCTCACCCATTAGAGCTCTCAATCTTTTTCCTTAATTTTTATATTTTGCAGCAAACGTGTGAGAGCAGCAGCTTCAACGTGGGGCAAGTTAGATGAGCTCCCCTAGTCATATGGTAGATCTTGTTTTTTTGTTTGGGAATTCTATAGGATAAGATCATAGAATTTTCATCTTAGTATATTAACTAAAGAATACTTCTGTAACTATATATATATATATATATTTCTTCTTCATCAAAGATTTGAAAATGAAAAAATATAGAGCTCATCTCTCA